TGCATACCATTCATTTTTGAACCTCTTGGGTCAGGATGCAAGCACACCAAGATTTGCTCTCAATACCAGGTTAAACACCCCAGAAGTATAGATTCTCTCAGGATCATATTCTTTTGTGTCAGAGTCTCCATCACCATGCCCTAGGTGCTGGCCCTTGTCTTCTCTTTGGAATGCCTCCAGTTCACTGCCATGGTCATTGCTTCTGACCTTCCTGGGGGCAGCCCCGCTTCTGTGCTTCTCCATCCCTCCCTGTCTTCCTGTCCTCCCTCTCACCACCCTCCCACCCTTCCTTTCTTTATTATTTCTTTTTTACCCTGTTGAATTTCCCACTTTGGGAATTTTTGACTGTATATGCTGATGTTACCACCCATTTGACAACTGCTTACCTTTTCTTATTCTCCACCCAGAGCTCTTCCAAATGCCGATGTACAGAACTCATTTCTCAGTATGTCATTTTCTTATGGCAGTGTTTATGGTAGGTGATGGTCACTTTCTCATTCCTGACACTACCTTTTTACTCCTTTCCATCTACATTTGGAGTTACTCAGATGCTAAAAGAGCTAAGTTTTATATATTTATTTAAAGAATTTTATTAATAGACCACAACTGCCAGACATGCCCTCCAAATTGTTTTCTTTTCCATCCCTCCTAACACTGGGTCCACTGGATCAAATTTTAACTAGGCAAGAATTAGCAAAGGACATATGTGTGCCCCTGTAGGCGCCGTTTAAAAGTTCCAAGTACAACAAATTTGATGGGTGAAGAAATGATATATTTAATGGTAAGGTTGTAGTGAAAGAAACTTGTGGCCTTCGCTGTGTTAGCATTACATTTTGTAGTTGGGCTAACGGTATGGGAAATTTTTGTTAAATTCGGAACACTAAAGCTATTTAAGAATGCCATTAAAACTCAGGGTTTATTTTTGGCCCGCTGAGCAAGTTATTTTGGCATAGACAGGGGTTCCTATATATTTTTTTGCTATCGATGTTGATCTTCACATTATAATTGTTGATGCTAAAAGTAGAATTGCCTGAATATTGCAGAAATGGAGTGTTTGAGTAAATCAAGAAAGGAGATTGAGAGACAGAGAGGGAGGGCAATAAGTTAGTGCACAATAGCATTTATTCCTATTTCTATAAAGCAATCAAAATTGTTCTAACACTGTGGTAATCCTTTGTATGTTTTGATACATGACATCATTTTTCATTGTCAGCAACACACATGTATATTTTCAGACACATGTGAATTCATCTTAATAGGTAAATCATTGAGTCAGTACTTTCAACACTTTCTTTTTTGAGAATGTCTCCTAGTTGCTTCCCAGGAAAGACTTTTTAAGTCCATCCATCTGTTAGACATTTAAGCATAGATCAGCCAGAGTGGAGGTGGGCATGAGTTTAATCTTCCACTGTAGCTTAAATCAGAACCACTGCATCATGCTATTAGGATCATCATTTGTACTATTATCACACAATGTTTCTTTTTGTGCCCAACAAATCTTTCTCTTTAAAAGAGCTGATGGATGAAAATGAGAGAACCAACCATCAAGCACACATGGAAAGAGAAGCAAACTACACACTGAGTTAGGTAAAGCAAACATGATTTTCTTAAGCTTTTAAAGCAAACAGAAACACCCATAAATGTGTTTAAAAACTCTTATTGCACAAGCCAGTATGTTTTCATAGATAAGTATTTCAGCACAGTGAAAAGAAAGGAGAGGTAATTTACACATCTGTCCTGGTGTGTATCAGGCACCTTGCTAGGCTCTGGGGATGGCAGAGTTAACAAGGAACATACATAGTCTCTGTTCTGAAAGAGATTAGATCCTCCTAAGGAGAGAGAGACAAGAAAACACTTAGGCAAATAATGAGGATTTCAGGAACAAAAGAGTGTGATGATTAGCAAAGAATTTCAGACAAGCCTCATTTTCTAATTTACATTTTTAAAAACTTTGCTAAGCAGGTGGGACTTGGAAAAGACTGCTCACCATAGAGATGGAGGTGGAGGAGGAATGGGGTGTAGAAAATTGGGGGAAGGTAGAATGCAGAGTACTTGGAAGTGGATTGGGTAGGGGAGAGGCAATGAATGAAAGGGATGCTATTGACTAAGTCAGTGAAGAATGCAGGAGGAGCACTTGGGGCCAGAAGAAATCTAGGGTTCAGTTAGGACCATGATGCATATGAGATGTCTGCAAATAGCCAAGAGAAACCTCGAATGCATTTGCCAAATGAGTTTGGAAAAGAGGTCAGAGTTGAATTATAATCGTGGGAGTTGTTGGCACATGGGTGGGGTCTGAAGCTGCAGGACAGGATTAGATCACCCAGGGGTGAGCATAGAATGAGGGAAAAAAGTTTTGTCTGAGACTAGCTCTGACACTTAACAGGCCTTCAAGGGATCTCTGTAAAGGATGTGGATCCGACAGATGAGTCTGAGGATGTGGAATTGACAGATGAGTCTGAGCAGGAATAGCGTAGAGCTAGCTGCTAATTTGTAAGAAAAAGAAGTCCTATTTCATGAACACAGACCACACCATCCTGGCATTCAGCTCTCCGCCACAAACCCCCAGCTGACTCCAAAGCAGCCTTCACTAGAAAAGAAATTCACTGCGTGAGTGTCTTCCCTCTAGAGGGGGAAGAACAGCATTTATGTATGAGGTTCCTGCTGTGTTTTTCGAGCTGGGGGGTGAACTTCCTTGGGGAAAATAAATGTGAAAGTCTCAAAGATCAACTTCTCTGTCCCCGTTCAGACTTGGTTACCAATAAATAGGACAGGAACTTGGTCTTTTATGATTTCTCTTGTGGGAAGTTAACGTGCAGCACCATAGAGTTTTGTTTTGTCTTTGTGTTTGAAATTAAATGTGGCATTTAGATTCCACCAGAGAAGTAGCTTATAGGGGTACCAATTTGCAAGTCTAATCTTAGATAAAGGGGCACAAAGAAATCTTTCGATCCCCTCTTCCCATGATTTCAACTATTTCCCAAGTAGAGTATGTCCTTCTAATAGATGTTGCAGTGGGGTCCAGTTGGAATGCTGTACACTGTGCCATATTCTAATAGATTAAAAAAAAAGTAATAACCTTTCAACTGTATCAGTAATTTCCTGATAGCCTGGTTTGCTGTGTTTCTGAAAATTTGAGGGTATTCCTGCCTACATAAAAGCAGATTTATTTGTTGAGGTCTGCATCATATATTCTGTAATGAAAAAATGGTACCTGCTCTTCCTATGGTAACACAGACTACACATCCGCATTTCTTTTGATGCAAACTCCTTGGTGTGATTTAATCCATAGACACACTTTGTTTTGCAAATGAGACTGATGGATAGGAATAGACTGTTGGATTATTGCTTCAGTGATGAAAACAAAGAGTTTGGAAATCCTCTTTATAAAATTGGCTGTTTCTCATGCCTTTTCACTTTCCTTTTCTTTTCTTCAAATATATTTCAGTTCTCATAATGCAGTTTCAATTCATGTTTCACAAGTTTAAATATGGACATTGCGAGGGGACCAAGTCACGTTCTATCAAGACTTCTCCTTAGGTGGTATGACCCTATGCATTTAGGAATAACATTCTGGTCACTAAAAACCACATTGTAGCTGCCTCTACTATGTACCCTGAGTTACTCTGACCCAAATCTCACATCTAATTTGGCTCTTCTTGGCCCAATTTCATATCTACATAGTGGTTCTTCATTGAGTGAATCACTCTTGTACTTCCCCCCAGCCTGGATTTGGGAGCACCTGCTTTATTGCTTTCTGATGATGCTGAACACCCTAAAATAGCTTTATATCACTGATGCTATCACTAAATCATTCCTAAAAATCTGTATTTCTAACCCTTTTGCCTTACATTACTGAATGACTGCTGTCCGACATCCAGATCTAGTCTCATACACTGGCATGTTAGAGAGAACAGCTGCTTCTGGGTTCATATGAGCACCTCCTGGGTAATCATCATCTTGTTGTCAAAATCCATGCTTACATTTAAGTGGGTTTCTTGGATTAAGTCTCAGTACACTCACCTCTAAGGCCTGAGTTCGATCCCTGGTCACAGAGCTAACTCATATTTGGCTCAACAGACCTCTCATGTCTTGTGTCCCCCCCCCCCATCCACTCAGGACTGTATTTCAGGAAATTTGCCTATTCTGCTCCCCACTGTCTCTGAAGTCCTCTCACCCTCTGCACCTCATGCTTACAGTCCTGTTCTTCTATGCAAAAAAATAAATAAATAAAATAACAAACAACTGACTAAATAAATGGGTTTCTTTAAATTGTTCTTGGAGATTGTTATCAAGAGAACAGTTGTGTAGTTGAGTTTTTATTTGTGATGTATTTCTTATCAAATTAAGCTAGGGGAAAATTGCACACAAACTCACTGACTTGTGAGATGTACTAGTTTTGTCATCAAGAATGGCTATTATTTAAAAAGCTCATCACCTTTAGCTTCTAAATAAAGTATTGAGTACAAGACAACAAAATAAAACACTTGTATCGCCAAAGACCATAAATATCATGCATGTTAACCTAGTGAATTTCACATATAATAACCTAAGGCCCAGATACACAGGAGACATTCTTTTAGTTGTTTACTAAACAGAAGCTAATGGCAATAGATGGGAGACAAGCTACACAATGAGAAAATGAGAACAGAACTCCTTAGTACCTGTTTTTAAATTTGCTTCACTTGGGCCCTCCCTGGTGGTGCAGGAGGTTGAAGCACAGCACTAAGAAGCTAAAGCCACTTCAGCATGAGTTCGATCCCCGCCCCAGAGGTGACCCACATGGTGTGGTAGACCTCTCCAGGCCGGCCCGCTGCTCTCCTAAGCAATGTACTTTGTCTATCTGCCTGTTCTGCTCCCCACTCTGTCTCTGTTGAATCCTCTCACTGCCACTGCACCTCTGGCCTGTACCCCAGTTCTGTATGCAGAAGTAAATAAATAAATCTTAAAAAAAATGCTTCACTTGCTGATCAGTACTGACCCTTTTCCCCTTGTTTTTTTAGTGGCCACAGATGTCTTCAATTCCAAAAACCTGGCTGTTCAGGCACAGAAGAAGATATTGGGTAAAATGGTGTCCAAATCCATTGCGACCACCTTAATAGATGACACCAGCAGTGAAGTGCTGGATGAGCTGTACAGAGTGACCAAGGAGTACACCCAAAACAAGAAGGAGGCAGAGAAGATCATTAAAAACCTCATCAAAACAGTCATCAAGCTGGCCATTCTTTACAGAAATAATCAGTTCAATCAAGATGAGCTCGCACTGATGGAGAAATTTAAGAAGAAAGTCCACCAACTCGCTATGACGGTGGTCAGCTTCCATCAGGTGGATTATACTTTTGACCGGAATGTGTTGTCCAGGCTGCTGAATGAATGCAGAGAGCTACTCCACCACATCATTCAGCGTCACCTCACCGCTAAGTCACACGGACGGATTAATAATGTCTTTGATCACTTTTCAGATTGTGATTTTTTGGCTGCCTTGTATAATCCCTTTGGAAATTTTAAACCCCACTTGCAGAAACTTTGTGATGGTATCAACAAAATGTTGGATGAAGAGAACATATGAGCTTGTGAATTGAGATGGTGACTGCTCGTAATTTGTTTGAAGATGGAGCACTGCTGATTTATGAAGGAAAAAAAGAATTTTTAACGATTATGCCTTTTCCAGAAAGACTGCCCAATTTGATTGTCAGACACGAATGGTCATGTTTTATGAGGCTTGTTTATTTGAAGAAAAGCAGGTTGCAAAAAAAAAAAAATTCTAGTTAGACGCTTCTTAACAGTTACAGAGCATGGGAAAGATGTATCCATGCATAATGTAAACATGGAGTTATACTAAGAGAAATGCAATGACTCAAAACCTCAAGACATCTTGTTTAGGGTGATTGGTGTGTCAGTGGCACAGTGAATATTTCTGATATGTACAGAGTTGTGTATTTTGATTTACTTGTATTCCTTACTGTGGATATGTACCTCTTTTAAAAAGCCAAAACCTTTCTCTTGCTGCCATTGCTTCTTTTGCAGCAATTCCATTTTCAAGTCAACCTTCATTAAGGATTTTGTCATCGGCATTCCGGAATTAAGTCTTAACTTAGTCTGAAGACACTCAAGATTTGAGGCAGTCAAGTGAAACTCAGAAAAATAAAAAAAAACTGCTCTGCAGTCTATGTTGTAGAAACAGGCTGTACTTGGCATTATGAATAATGTCTAATGTAAGAATATGCTTCTGGTATCGAGTTTATTGTTTTTATTTTAGTACCAAGAGTGATACTTCCCCAAAATGTGATATTTCCCCATAACATATTGGTGTGTCATTGCCTTGAAATACTTGCTGAGAGCTTCACTTTCATCTTATCTAGAACACGTACTGATGGAATCTTCATTTTTATATCCATTTCAAATGTAAAAGTGAAAGAATGGATTGCTCTTGATATTGGAACAACAAAAAGTAACTAGTACCAAGATAAATAAAGCAACCGTTTTGAGAAGACGCCATCAAAACAATTTAGGGGATCAGGAGCAAAAGAGAAGAATGGATATTTCTACCTGACATGAGAGTGAAAATGAATGCATTTCAATGTTTGATAAACGTTTGATAGGTAAATAAAGAATGTCACTTTTTTATTTAACTGATAAGATTTTTGCTATTTTGTTATTTGCTACTTTGATGAGTAAACCAAAGAAAATTTGCATTCTAAGCAGTTTGTGTGTTACTTTTACATAATGTATAGGTCTGAATAACAAAGTAAGCATTTGCATATTTTGTAAAAAAGGAAATGGAACCATGCAGGCCAGCTATTGCACCTAGGAAATAACAGATCAACCACAGGCATTAAATGTTTGCATTTGTGTCAGATTCGATAAGCTCTTGTGCCTTGGATTTGCTACCGCTCAGAATACTGACATTAAAATAATAGCTCACCAGAAAAGCCTCACTAAAACTGCCAGAGCTTAATTAAGATCTGCTTTAACTTTGCATCCTAGAGGAGGTGGTCAGATTTATAGAACCTTCATGTGCTTGTCTAATACAAGGAACAGAAGCAGAGAGTATTTCCTATGTGATGTAAATCCTAACACCAAGATTTGAACTGCAAGTACAACTCGCACCTCCTAGAGCCCTATGGCCTAACTGTATGTAGTACAGAAACCACTGCACCTCCTCTCCCCGGCTTCCTAGCTTGCTAAGGAGCTTACTAATTTTCATCGTTGGCAGCCTCCCTTCAGCAGCTCTGCTTTGCCCTTGTGGGAAAGCTGAGAGCGATCGGATGTCAGCAACTTACTTGGTCCATTCCATTCTCCACCGGATCTCCTTCTGCAGAGGTATGGGAAAAACCTCTGCATTTTCTGGGCAGTGGGTAGTACTTCTTGCTCATCTCTAGTTTTGGATAGGACCAGCCAGAGGGGGAGGACCTGATGATAAATTTAGACTAGTCTGGGCCCATCTAGATCATAGAGCTGCATCTGTGGGTTAGTAGTCAAATGTACAGGGCAGAGAGGGAAACCAAGCTTTAACACAGAAGGAAGGCAGTGCAGAGTGTCCTTCGGGAGGGGATCCTTGCATGACCTTCTGGAGGGAAGCCACTTCTCCTTACCAGTCCTTTGCTGGAAGGACTGCCTTAGATACATCTGTTACAAAGTCATCATTAGCAGGTTCATTTCTGATGCAACAGAACTCCCCTTATGCATGAACTTAGGGGAGGGGAAGAGCTGGAAAGAATCCAGGGAGAGATCATTTTGAGCCAAGTTAAAAGTCACTTGGGGGTCTTTCTAATTGCGTCTTGATATTATGGAAAGCAATCATGAGTTGTTTTACAATGGCTTTATTAACTTTGTACGACCTTTTTGCAAACATTATGAGTTAGTAGATGAGTGATAATGCTAATATTAACAATTGACTCTAATTCGTTTATCCCTCCAATAACATTTTCCATTTTACAGATGTGGAAAGTGAGGCAGGGGAAATAAGGAATTTACCTGAGGTCATATAACTTAGGCATTAAAGCCAGGATATTAAAAAAAAAATACTTTCACTTAAAAATAATATGGCTAGAGGCACTCACCATGGGTGAGTGTGCTTCTGAGGTAGTATTTCACTTCGTGACATTTTAGCTGGTATGTAAATCATACAGGTCTGACCAAGTCACTGATGATCTGGGTTTGATTTTATACAAAGACACTTTAGAAAATTTGAACACGCCTCCTAATTTGAGGACATCTTATGGTTCAGATTTCTTTTCCCCTGAAGGAGATAATCAATTCGAGGTGCACAATTAGGGATGACTTTGAACATTGGCAGGAGGCTCAGCTCCTCTCCTGCCCTCCCTCAGGACTTTCCACAGACATAGGAGGCGCCCTGTGTAAACCCAGCCAAGAAGACAGAAGCCACAGTTGATCATTGTTTCCCTAGGAAAGGTATGGCATCAATTGGAAACTTCATCTTTTTCCAGGTTTAGAGGCTGGAAATATCTGTGTGAGTAAGTTTAAAAATAGTCTTGTGGTTTTTTGATTAGACCTTTTTACATATAGCTTAAATTAAGTTTAGAAAAAAAAGAAAGAGCATGTGTTAGGAACTTTCATGGTACAGAAATAATGCTTTTATTGTCTTATATAACAGTATCTTATTCATAATTATCTGGAAAGTTTTTCTCTTACCATGTCAATACTTGAAAACTCACAGCTTAAATTTTCTGATAGATTTCCTCCCAGGACTAAAATAACAGTATTTATGGTCTGTACATGTTAAATCAATTGGAATTTTACCAAGCATTTTTATTTTTCCGTATAATTGATGAGAGCACAAAACTGAGTATTAATATAATACTCAGATAACAAGTAAAAAAATGAATAGATCTATTCATATAATAAAATATCTGTAGTAAAAAAATTAAGTGTTATTTAATTGCTAGGAAATTAAAGTACTCTAATAAAACACACTTTATGAGCATATGTATAAGACTTGTGATATTTAAAATTTTTCAACCGGTCTTGCTTTTCCAAACTGCATTTTCTAAATTAGTTGAACTTCGTAAAATCTGAAAAATCAATTTTTCTTGATATGTTGCATTCCTAGTCATAAGATTTTTATATAATTTGTTAAACTCAATGCAGGTTTTTAGTTCTCAGCGCTGTTTATCAGATAACATTTGTCCTAGCTTTGAAATATTTTTTTTCTATTGTGAATCAGATAAAGTCTTTATAGCAACACCCTAAGAAAACTCTGAGACACCAGCTAGAAAAAGAAGTTACTTTTTGTTTATATAATGAGAGAACAGGAAAATCTCTTAAGCGTTTATAATCACATCTCACTATCATAGCAAACTATTGAAAATCTATTTTGTCTTTTCCTGAGGTGGCCTCCTGGTTACTTATGTGTGCCCAGAGCCAGAAAGACGCTTGCATCTAAGGGAATTTCCCAAAATGGAAATTTTTTTGGTGTAATATCGATTTATGTCTGTCTAGCCCAAGATGTGTTTTCCAGCTAGCAATGAATGTCAGCCCCCAGTTACAGGGGAGAAGCCCTCAAGAATGACCCCATCTACAGAGCCCTGTCTAAAAACATGGTCAAACCAGCTAGTGTTCACAGTTACGAGAAAAACATGTGTGCTTTGGAAAATGTTTTTCAAATATAGAGAATTAGGCTGTGTCTCCGCCCCTCCCCCATTTCCATGAGCTTTATGAGATTAGCCAGCCCATGATTAAGACCCCTCATTTTCCTTCTTGGGTGGTTGATCAAGCATTTGGGATTTGTTCTTCACATAAGGAAGGAATATTTGATTTTAACACAACATGCCTCTCTGTAGTGTGGTGTTTCCATTTGAAAGTTTACAGATAGTTAATTAAATCATCTCAACTGCTGGATGTGAGGTATGTACACAGGGCACTGAAGTGAAAACTGCACACATAAATCTCAGGTTGCTGCCATTATCTGGGATGAGCGATATTTTCTATGGAGTTCAGGTTCCATTTCCTGGGAAATGAACTTTTCTAAGCACAGTAGGAGACTCCCCTTAGGAATTTCCTGGTGGCCTAAGGGTTACGTCTTAGCACTGTCACCTCTGTGGCCTGAGTTCCATCCCCAGCCAGGAAGCTGACCCACATCTAGTGCAGCAGACCTCTCTTGTCTTCCCCACTACCAGCCTCAGCAGTGTAGTTCAGTCACTGGGCCTGTTCTGCTCCCCGCTTTGTCTGGGTGAAACTTCTCACCCCCTACATCTCTGGCCTACACCTCAATTCTTCTACGAAAAAAAAAATTGAAAAAACAAAAAAGGAGCTTTCACTTAGTCTAGTGAGTCGGCACTAGCTTCTTATATGCTCTTCTAAGACCACCTGTTTTCACTAAAGGATAAATACCAGGCAAATTATAAATTTTTATAAGACGAGGCCCACTCTGGTGGCACCCACAGCACTGCAAAGCTGGCCACAGACACTTTCATACAAGTTCCGTCCCCGCCCAGGAGGTGACCCACATGGCGCAGCAGATCCCTCCTGACCCACCTGCTGCTCCCTTCAGCAGTGTCCTTCATCAATCTGCTTGTCTGTTCTGGTGACTCTGGTGAATCTGACTCTGGTGAATCTTCTCACCGCCTCTGGCCTATCCCAGTTTTGTATGCATGAATAAATCTTAAAAACATATTTTTTGTAATAGCTTTAATGTCTTGCAAAAGGAACTGCTAACAATAAGATAAAGGTGCTAGAGGTATGGTTGCTTCTTAATCACTTGGTCTGTGTTCTTATGGCCGAAGAGTCCCATTTTTTTTTTAAAGATTTATTCATACAGAACTGGGGTACAGGCCAGAGATGCGGAGGGTGAGAGGCTTCACCAGGGACAGAGTGGGGAGCAGAACAGGCAGATCGACAAAGTACACTGCTGAGGGGAGCAGCGGGCAGGTCAGAAGAGGTCTGCCATGCCATGTGGATCTCCCCCGGGGCAGGCGGGGATCGAACTCATGCGGAAGTGGCTTGAGCTTCTTAGTGCAGTGCTTTAACCCGCTGAGCCACCCAGGGAGGGCCCAAAGAGTGCCATTTTTAGCTGGCACTGGAGGACCTGCTGTCAAATCCTTGTATGGAAACATTCCATAGCACGTGTGTCAGGAGTCTGGCTATACGTCCTCCCAGCGACTCCCTGGAGGGTGGCAAGGTAGGTAAGGCACCACAGCATCACAGGGTATGGTGTTGGGGCCATTTCAAACTTGCTTGTCAGGGGGTCCTCTCACCTCCGCTGTCCAATTTGGATGAAACCAACCTCCTGAGATTTTCATCTCAAGGGAAATTTTAAACGAAACATGGTGGGAGGATTTGAAACCTGTAGGCCATACTTGTGTAGAGTATGGTTTTATTTCAATATTTCCATATAAGCAATGAAAATAAGTCTAAAACAAATTAAGCAAATGACTTCTGCTGCTGGAGAGAATTTTGTTAAATCCCAACCTTCTTAAAAAATTGTCTTTTGCTTTCAATTTAGGAAAATTAGTTTGAGTTGCGTTGTAGAAAATGACTGCAGTATCGATGTATGTATGCATGATCTCTTGGCTAATTAAGTTCTCTATCTCTTTAATTATTTTATCATTGCTGCTGATTATCTATTGTCACATAATGAGTCACTCC